GCATATTTGATGCCTTTTGCTGGTGATCACACAAAACAGAAGAATATCTTTAAACATCCTGTTGTTGCTGAGCCACTGCAGCATTTATAGTGAACTTCCTGTCTTGTCTTTCACTAAAAATATAAGTTCTATAGCGGTTTGATCAAATTAAGGTTAAATAATACGAACAAAAACACTAAATACAGACGTGTTTTCAATTTTGATCATCATGACTTGCAATTTCATCCCACTTACGCCTTTTTTAAAAATTTGCATTTCTTCCCAGAAAAAAACAGAAGAGGTCTAAATATCTGGACGACAACGTGGAGCTGGTGGTTGCTCAAGCGGCTCCACTGGTATTTATATTATTCACATTACATGATCATATTAGTAGTTGAATTTCAGGTGTTTGCTGCAACATTAAGCTTGTTTTTTCTGTTCTTTTTATTTAACTACATGGTAAGAATGATCCTGCAGAGACACGTTAGAGTATCTTGTGTGCTTTTATTTTACTGATTTCTTACCGTTTTACTGTTTAGTTAAAGACGGATTGGAGAAGACTTTATACCGCAAATACAACCTTAACTTCAAAAAAAGAAGAATTGTCATCAGTTTAACCAACAATATGTCTGGTTTCAAGTTTTTTTTTGTTTTTTTTTAAGCTGCATTTCAAATTTTGTGAAAGTTTCCTGGAAGATCAGGAAAAAGACGATAGATTGTAGAATGGCTTGGAAATTTGTTGGTCGTAAATGCAAATAAAATGACTAGTAGTAAAGGTTAACCTTGATTGGAATTGCTTTTGGGACGGCTGAAAAGTACTAAATGTCATTTCTGCATTGTTGACAGATGGATGACGGTCCAGCAGCAGAACATGATCGGATCCACGTCCAGGATGCAGCTGAGGGAGGAGCTGAGTCTTCCGGACTTGACGGTGACCTGAGACCGAAAGAGGTGGAGTACTCAGACCTTGATTTCTCGGCGATGAAGAGGAGGAATCCCACAGGGGCAGAGGAGACGCAGGACGCGGCGGACACGGAGTACGCTGAAATTAAAAAAGAAGCGAGAGAGGAGAGGCCCGGCGGCGGCGGAGAGAACGGTGACGTGGTGGAGGGCAGTTGGGAGGAGGAGGAGGAGGTGGTGGTGATGATGATGATGGGGGAGGATGAGGAGGCACAGCAGGGCATGAACGCTGAGGAGGAGGGGGGAGGCGAGAATGCATTCTAATGTGAGTGGCTGAAATCTGAGGTCAGGCGAAGTCGCATGAGGATGCTGTTTGCAAAGCATACAGTGAGACAAATTTAAAAAGCAGATGTGTGAGCTGTGTGTGGTTTGTTAGAAGATGATATAGAGGTTTTTTTTTGTGTGTGTGTGCTTGTGTGTTGGTGTGATGTAGAATTCCTTCGACAGAAAGGAAATCATGTGTATATATTTTCTTTTAAAAATGCATTAATTAAAGTGAGTAGGAGTAAAAGAAAGGATGCTGGATGGATGTGTTGTCTAGACAGAAGAGTAATGGTTAAGCAGTTGGGAGATTAGTTTCTCAAGTAAAGTGTTCTCATGTGATGTAGTTTAATGTGTAAATAACTGTCCTGTAAGTAGTTTATTTTTTTGTCATTGTGGGTTTTTATTTTTTTTAACCACCTCACTGGTATCTTGGCAAACGAAACAGAGTTACTCCATTCATCCAGCTACCAACACAATACCTGTTCTACCTACACCGTGTACAGAATCCAGTCATAAATTCACACAACTCTGACTTTAGCCTTCACAACTGAGCCACAAAACATAACAGGATGAATTAGCAGCTTTATGCTAATCAGTTCATCATCATAAATAAATGCAGCTACAATTTCATTTTTTTTAAAATAACACAGCGCGAACTAGAACGTCTATACTATCGAGTCCAGTTCATTTCTGTGATCAAATGTGTTGTGCCCCTTTTTTTGTCAATAAAATATAATCAAAACTTATTGTTTCCAGACAGATTTCTGCTATATTCATGTTGCGGCGAATGAGAGGAAAACACGGTTGCTGCTTTGGAAACAACATGCATTTTTGTTTTAAGTTGCCGGATATCAGAGGAGGAAGCTTCTAGGAGGTCTGACCACATGTTCACATGCCGACGGTCTTCAAGGAGGACGCTTCACACGTTTACCGTTCTCCATGCACCGGGTTACTACTCTGACAAGAGCACGATATAAATTCAATCCAACTTGAAAAATCTAATCTTGTTGCAGCGTTATGTCTCACTGGTGTTAAAGTGATTGCTGCTCTGTCTTGCTCGGTACTTCTCAGACAGAAGAGCACTGAAGATGTGGTCTTGTGGTGTAGTACACCATGAGAACGGGGAAGTTTGACACTGAACATATAACGAAGGCCTGTAACTGTAAGGAAGTATATAAATACTCACCACAGTGACTTCGCTGAGAGAAGTGACTGCGGATATACAAGTGGTGGCAGTTATCTACCCAGCATTTTATTAATCTGGCAGTAGAGATAGACTGATGCATTGCACGCAACAAGGCACAACTTACATGCTGCATGATCAACAAATATTCACGTTTCAATCTCTTGAGTTCTATGAAAATCTGCATGATAAGACAATGGTTAGAGAGAGTTTGTTTCTCTTATTTCTTGCCACAAACTTCCCTTTTTAACTGTTTTGTATCAGTTCACAGTTGGTAAAGTGGTACTAAAAATGGTTTCCTTTTATTTTATTGTTCAGTATTTAAGGTTAAAAAAAAAAAACTCCCACTTGAATGTGATGATATTGTGATAATAATAACGTCTGTATGAAGTTATGATGGTTTGAGTGTGGGAGGAGCAACGGTACTTTGCAATAAAAGCCTTTGCACAAAGAAGGAAGAGACACAAAAGTTTAAAAAAAAAGAAGAAGAAGAGTCACACAGCAGATATCACTGGTAAGTCCAGGAGACCAAACAAGCAGGTAAAACACAACATTTACTGAAAAAAAATAGAATAAAGAAAAGTCGTTCAAGATAGACTCTATTGACCTGAATGCTAGTTTAAAGCTTTATTATCAAACCCTTGGCTTTGTGTGTGCCATATGGCAGACTGTGGTGGCAAAGGGTTGGGCCAGAAATAACCAGATGGCACAGATGTTTAATTATTTGATGTTCAGAGGTTTTAGGAATTGAAACCCAAGGGAAAGACAGTAGTCAAATTCATTAACATCACTGTGGAATATGTAGAAAATGCAGAATCCTGTATTAGCATCTGTGTTGCAAGCTGTTGTGGCAACGCTCTGATCAACTGGGCTTCCTGTGTGTTTGTCATTTTAAAAAAAGTTTGTCTTTTCAAAGGAAAAACGTGCATCCTATTGAGAAAGCGGCCGAGTCTTATTCATCGACTCAGAATGATTGTTGTCGTCTGGATGACTCTGCTCTTCAAAGTGAGGAGCAGCAGTGCCAGCTCAGGTACAGTGCATCGCTTTATCGCAATGCTGCTGCTAGAATTCAATTCATATTGAATGCAGTTTCTTTGTTTTATTATTACTGTTGGAGCTACTAAATGCATCTTTTTTATTTTGCAAAAAATAAGGCCTCATAATAATTATCGTCATAAACGTTTAGCACTTTAAAATTTTTAACTTTTGCAGCTTTGCAGGTTGTTTAGGAGTCCAGCTTTTCTGTTTAGTGTCACAACCCGGCAAATAGGTTATGGCAAAAGAGGGGAGACGACACAGGTATTGCCAGATTTTAACGTAAGCTTTTATTAATTTCGAAGTGAGGTGTGTACGTCAGTGGTATCAGTAGTGTGGGTGCGGATGTCTGGATGCCAGGAGGCAATGTGGTGCCAAGTGTTGTCTGATGTGAAAACCAAACCAGAATGCCACAAACCAAAGTCGCAAGCGTGAGGAGGAGAGAGAGTAGGAGCTAAGGGGTAGGCCCTTTTGTAGCCTGGCCCAAGGGCGCTACGCAGGTAAGCCCGCCCACTCCAGCAGTCTAGGGACCTGAGGAAACAGAGCCAAACACAGACAGCCAATGTGCCCAACCAACGGACTAGGTGGGGCCGTCACATGAGCATGCACAATGAGTCTTGAATTAATAAAGCATTTATTTATCAAGGGTAAACCCACAATAACATTCACGACAACTTGCTGCCATTTTGGAATCTTCGCTGAACTGCATCAAACGGAGAGGAGAGATGTTTCTGTTACAACGTTTAGCCGATAGCGTCGCTGATACAGACATAAAGTGACTGAAATGTCCGTCAGCGTGATAAAATACTGATAAATTTAACATCAGCGCAACATCCATCACGGTTAGATCAACATCTCACTCGAACAGTTAAGACAGAAATTTAACAACACAACCTTTATGAAGTGAAGAACTTATTGAAGGATTGATGTATTAGATTGCTTTAGTACAGGGGTGTCCAATCCTGGTCCTGGAGGGCCACAATCCTGCATGTTTTAGATGATCAGGATCGTTATCAGGCTTCTGCAGAGCTTGATGATGAGCTGATCATTTGAATCAGGTGTGTTGGAAGAGGGGAACATCTAAAACATGCAGGATTGTGGCCCACGAGGACCAGGATTGGACACCCCTGCTTTAGTAGGTGTACCTAGAAAGCAGTGGAGGGTCGTGCATTTTACTCCTCGGCCTTCAGTGGCGTCCTACCTGAATCAAATCACCTCTTCATTATGACGCCACGACTATAGAAACCATCAGTATTATGCAGAAAGGCAGCGTAACAGAACGTTGCACTGCAGACTGGGGTCTCATGTAGTGAGAATGAATGCCATCACTAGAGCAAGAAACCCATTAAAATAATTCAACAAGTCTCCGTTAATTGTACCATATACATCATATCTAACAGGAGCATCAATATCAACCCAGTAAAATGACAAATATGTATATTTTACTCACCAAAACTTCAACTCCATCCTCCTTTCTTTCATCCTGAAGAGTTGAATCACTCTGTTGAGCAGCTAATCCGTGTTTCACCTCCAACAATCAGTCCTGTTCTATCTCCATGGAGGCTGATGCTGAAAGTTGCTGTCCAGTCGTGTTTCTGGGATAAGTTTTAATTCACTTTAGGGCTGAGAATGTCTGCTTAATTAACATGAAAAAAACAAACAAACAATACTTTTATGAAAGTTTTAGCTTGTGCAGGTCGCTACAGATACGAACCGCTAGCTGTGGCTGAGCTCTCTGACCAATCAGAGGACGTGAAAGTGTCATCGTAGGCCAGCTAGCTGGTCCTGGGACCACCAACTCTCAATCTGATTGGTTAACAGTTTCATTACAATGCGTTTTAAGCTACAGGCGCCTGCGCTTTTGACTCTGAAGGCCTCAGGGCAGATTTCTGTGACCCTGGTAACACACGATGGCTGAAATATGATTGGATAAAAGCTGTAATATAAACATATATAGCTGGAGACACCACAGCCCAGAGACACGCTATGAAATGAAGAGAACTGCTGGGAATAATGTGAAAAGATTAAAATATTAAGTCAGTGATTGTGATAGAGTTCAGGCCAGCAGAGAAGGCCTCGGTGGCCCTGACGGCACATCACTGCTAAAAAAGCTGGCTAATTATTGTTTATTTTGCACCATTTGAACTAATGATGGGCTATTAAATAATAACCACAATCACACTGATATATCGAGTCTCATTTTCAGAACCACACCGCTATGCCCTCTATTCACTTCCTCTTTGTAGGTTACCAAATTGACATGACAAAGAGCCTCACGTCCTCTCACCTGATTCCACCACTAACATCCTGACTGCAAATTTTAATTCTGCTCTCGGGTTCCCTCTTCAGATCTGAGCAGAAAGCCCTCGGTGATGATTCCTGCCCTGACAGAGGGGCATCAGGCCACGCTGACCTGCACCGCGCCCGCTCGTTGCTCCGGATCGGATCCTGAATTCGCCTGGACGTGGGGAGGAACAGACCGGAACAGCACAGGGAACGCCACAGACAGTCAGGGACGAACGTCGACTTTGACATTTCAACCTTCAGCCGAACACCACAACGCTGCGGTCACCTGTAGGGTGCGCTGTACAGGTAACCAGACTACAGAGGAGGAGGAGACGGTGACTCTGAATGTAACCTGTGAGTAAAACATCTTGAAGTGTTTTTCTTCTACTGTATGTCTCTAGTTTTTTGCTTTATTTGGGGGCATCATCGTGGCTGCTTATCTGAAACTTTCTGACCTCCCACCTTCCTGTTACAGTAGCTTCAGAGCTGTTGCACTGACTGAGCGTTCCATTTACAGCTTTTAAATTGAGCGACTTCTGTTTCAATTCTTTAAATTTCAAGCAAAGGTTCACTTCAAATTCAAAACTAGTTCCTGGAAGTTGTTTTTATGGGTCGCTTTACGTTTCTCTCTTCCTCATTCACTATAAACTCTCTCCTGCAATGCTCTTAAAATGATCAAATATCAATAACTAGCATCGTTTCAGAGGCTTTAAGCTGATTCCCAGCCTCGAACCGGAGCTGTACATAAGTTTGTGTTGCCTGATGAACTTTTTATTTGTCCAAAATTTTGTTTCAAAGATGTCAAGAAACCTGAAATCACTGGAACCAGGACTGTGAAGGAGGGCGATGCTCTGAATCTGACCTGCACCGCCGACAGTTTCCCTCCAGCCGTCGTCACGTGGACGAAACACGGCGCGAACAAAAGCCTGATCAATGACACTGAACCTGACTTGAATAATGGCACTGGAACATCCGCTCTCATCATTCAGAACGTGACAACAGAAGATTCTGGGCAGTTCGTCTGTACAGCAAAACAGACGAACAACAGTCTCATAGAAAAAGTTGAGATCACAGTGAAGGGTAAGTGCATTAGAAATGTTCTTTATCAGCATTTTTACATAACTGTCCTTGGCTTTATATTTAAGTTAACTTCAGCAGTTAAAACCTAAAACATGCTGCAGCACAGAGCCAGAAACAATGAAAACAACATGTGTGTGTAGGCACAAAATCGTAGTTTAACCTCTTAAGACCCATCATTTTTTTATTTGTATTAGCTATTTGACCTGATCAAACAGAATTTAGAGAGAGAATTTTAAAAAATTATAAAGAAAATAAAAATATATATAAATTAAAAAATGTAAAAAAATATTTTAAATATGAAAAATTAAAATTAAAAAAATAACAATAATAAAATGAAAATTAACTACTGTGGTAATGTAACCCAAAATGTGATGTCAGGTCTTAAGAGGTTAGTGCTACTGCAAGGATTTAATTTAATTTGCCTTAGATCATCATTATCTAATATCTAATCATACTTCATTATAATCTCGTTGTCTATCACAAGCACAAACAAGCATCGGAAAAGTTTCCAAGATGTGTCTAGCTTTAGCCACGTTTTCAGAGCAGAAAATCTGTTGCCTGATTAAATTCTTGAAATTCAAATCGAAAAACTGTATTTATTCCTTGGTGGTAATTCAAAGGCACATAGAGCAGTTGGACACAGAACAGTAGCAACAACTGTACAGTCGCAGTAGCTGCCATGTTGTAGGTGAAATAGGATATAATCAAATCAAAAAATAGAATATGGTGAGATAAAGAATAAAAAATTAAAATACTGTATTGAGCAAAATATCGTATTTGTATATCAAAAATATTGTCTTGAACGTGTAAGGAAACATAGGACCACTGGAGGGCAGCGTTAGGAATTTTGCTCCATCTCTTTTCACGTGAACTAAAGTTGGCTCAAACCACAGACTGTATAAAAGATGGACGTAGCAACCGGCCCTGAAAAATGAAGCCAACCTGGAAGTGTCAAAAACCTGCAATATCACTACGTCCGCTAGCTGCTGGCTCCAAAAAGCCCTGGCTCCCATAGACTGGAATTGGAAAAGAAGTTATCACAGATCACTACATTCCTACAGCTCAGGATTTTTTTTAAAATTAGTTTTCATGGTCAAATCCAGAGATCAGGTGGTCAATCTGAAAATAAATCAATACTGAATTTTTTAAAAATCTTCAACATTTTGCGGGGCAAGGGGCGTGGCTGGCTTGATTGACAGTCGGCAGCGACGATGCAGACGAAGCGAGCAGAAGGCGGTAAATGTGGGCGGACAGAGAGGGCCCGCCTCTCAATCCATCTGACCAATCGCTGCTCCTATGGCTCCGCCCCCCTCCGACGATTTTTGCGTCACTGGCTCCAAAAATCCAAGATGTCAACCAGGAAGTAGCAAAACCCTGGCTTCATTTTCTCAGTGCAGAAACCAACGGGTGACGTCACGGTAGCTACGTCCATCTTTTATACAGTCTATGGCTCAAACACAAACTGTAACTGCTTCTCATGAGTAAACTTGTGAGCAGCTTCCTTATAAAGAAAAATCAGCTGAGCACTGAATGCTTGTGTTTGATGTTTCAATTCTGCTTCCTCGCAGCGCAACCAAAGATCCTGAACGGGTCTGGATGTGAGGTGCAGTCGGAGGTCTTGACCTGCGTGTGCATCAGTCAGGGTTTTCCCTTACCCGCCATCGAATGGCCTCTATTGGAGAACCTCACCGACTACTTTGTCCTTACCGCCGTGTCAAACCACACAATCAACAGCACCATCATCCTGTCCGCTAAAGGCCACAGCGACACCTCTGCTGTTTGTGTCAGTCGCAGCAAAAATGGAGAAACAAAAGGGAACCTCATTGTCAACGAAGCAGCAGAAGAAGGTAGCCGCTCGTCATGTGAATGCGTCTTTGATCTCCCTCTTCAATTTGTACAAAATGTGTAGATTCAATGCACATCTGTTAACTGTAGATCAAGAAGCTGGGTTTATTTTTTCTAACAACTTGTTCCTGATTGTAGGTCAAAGCGTGAAATGGTTCAGAATTGTTACCCAACTGGAAACTGTCATCACATTTTTGATTGGCACAGTGTTTTCAGCGATCATTTTCTGCTTGGCGTGGACATGCTGCAGGTACGCTATCAAGTGTTTTGTAGGAATTTTGTGCTTTGCATGTGCATAATGTCGTAGCGGTTGTTAAAATATGCAAGCGAAAGCATCTCAATATTGTCTAAATGTCAGAACTTGGAAAAAGATTAGAAACAGAGGATGTTTGGAAATTGTGTTAAGAGGGGCAAAATATACAAAACCGCAAGAATGGGGCTTTTAATGTGTGTTGAAATGTTGATATAATAGTTAAACATGAAACATGGGCGGCTGTGGCTCAGGTGGTAGAGCGGCCTGTCCTCGGCGGTTCGATCCCCTCCACAGTCGAAGCGTCCTTGAGCAAGACACTGAACCCGAAGTTGCTCCCAATGGCAGGCTAGCGTCTTGCATGGCAGCTCTGTCGCCATTGGTGTACGAATGTGTGTGAATGGGTGAATGAGAAACACATTGTAAAGCGCTTTGGGTAAAAGCGCTGTGTAAGTGTTGATCATTTACTATTACTTATTTCTTCACAGAAATAGAAACAAGAAGACTCATGGAAATCTGGCTGAGACTGTGGAGATGGGGATGATTCAGGAGGATCCACTGGTATTGTTATTTATACAACAATATGTTTTATGTTTGCTAAAGCCCCAGTGATTAGGATTGTGCTTTGGTGACATCTAGTGGCAGCATGGGGGAAGTACAGTATGCAAAACAGCAGTGCAGGAGTTCAGACTGAAATGAACTGAGTTTGGTCCGGTGCTGTAGCAGCTGATTAATGATCCGTATCATTTGTGTAATACCTGACAGATAGTGGAAGATGATCAGATCCAGGACCTGGAGACACTGGAGGAAGCAGAAGCTACAGCAGCAGGGAAATCAGACGTCGAGTACTCCGATATTGATTTTTCCCTGTCAAAAAGAAAAAGTCCAGCAGAGGCAGGAACCACGGAGACGGACTACGCTGAAATCAAGAAAGCAGCAGCGGTGGAGGGAGATGAGGGCCAGGTTCTAGGTGAGGATGAGGAGACTAAGCATTGTCCACCAGAAGAGCAGGACGGGGAGGATGTGGCAGTGTATTCCAATGTCCAGGACATAATGGGTCAGGTTTAAAACTGTCATCTGCTGGAGGATGTTGTCATTTCTGTGATTTGTTCTGATGTAATGTCTTCTTGCTGTTATGTGTGAATGCCATGTGTGCAGTTTCTACCGTGGTGGTTGTGATTTTTTTTTATTAGTTTTCAAAAAGTGAACTTCTAAAACTGTACAGCTTACTTGGTGAATCAACTCTTGAGCAGATGTGACCACTGCACAGTAGATTACAACCAGCACATATAGTTCTCAATAATGTGCAAACCATACGTTACATAACTGTAGCTTCTCATGACTTGTGTGAGCACACCGAGTACTGAAAATACAACGAAAAGCACAAAAAATAAGTTAAAAAAAGTTGACGAAATGCTCACACTTTAACTACTTCAGGAGACTGAAATCATGTTTGATTAATGGGAGATTATTATTTGTTTCTTTTCCATTTAAGACACGGTGTACAAAAGGGTTCTTGGTTTAGAAAAATGTAGGAGTTTTGTAGTATAAGATCCTAATTTCAGAAACCTGGGTAAACCTTTATCCTGGTATCCATGTTTACATCTTATCCAGAATTTGGTGTCTTTCTTTGTATGTTAGCATCTAAGTCCTCACAGCGTTTACGCGGTGATAAAGCAGTGCTTCATTTTCAATGCAACATCATTTACGTATCTTAAAAATCAAAATTGCATCACTTCTCAAAATTGCCATTATTTTCAAGTTGACAAGGGAAGTGCTTCTTCTTATGAACAAAGACAAACAGTAGGGACAGCATCAGTACTACAGACCCTGAGGTAGAGACTCAAAGCAGCAAAGGTGAACACTCCTGTGATCACTGACACAGAACTGAGTACCTGTGATTTCCTCCTGCTCTAATTGCATCAATATGGTTATAAAATGACCGAACCTTTGTCAGTTTTGGACCTATGGTTTGGTTCTATTTGCATGTCTGCATAGAAAAGAAACGCCAGAGTTCATCATCAAGCCCAGCAGCAACAAAGGGTCGCCATCCCTGTCTGCTCTGAGCCAGCTTCTGAAGGGTTCCCCATGTGCTGTAGGGTCTTGAGCTCCCCTTCCACAGTCCAGTGCCAGATGTTCTTGGGTTGTCCTCGCTTCCCTCTGGTGTCCAATGTTGGGCTGTGCGAGTGGTGTTGCCCTACTCTCTGCCGAAGGATTGCCATCTTGTCATGGGCTATGCTGCCTGGAGATTCGTCTCCTGGCAGGGCCATCCATGCCAGACAGGTCAAAGAGTAGAGGCCTGACGAAGCGTGATCCACTGGTCCTCCAGGTTGGGGGTTGGACACAGGACTAACAATCCTGTTCTGTAAAAACACTCCTGTTACGGAAACAGCAACAGAGGAAATTGACTCTAGAACTGCCAGAGGAACTGAAAAGTTGACTGTCAGACATAAAAGAGATGGAAGAGGATACACAAATATCAATGACCTTGTAAAATTCAGTGGAAACACGAACCACAGCAGTAATCAAGAAGTTTATAAGAGGTCATAGTGCCACTAGTCAGAGCTGCAGTCCAGGCTATCCTATTTAGCTTTGCCTCGTACAGGCTCTACATGCAAACCAAGCTCTGAACACACAGACGGCCAAGTGCTCCAGATTTGACAATGTGATCACTCCTGGAAATTGGAGTTTCTGTCATGGCTCAGGTTGTGTGAAGGAATGAATGGTGTCAGAGAAAAAAAAAGAATCTTTGGCAAAAAACAGCAAGAATAAACTTTGCTAAATAATGTTTAAAGAAGCCTCGTGGATATAAGGAGCATATACGTTGGTCAGAAGAGACCAAGAAACACTTTGTCAGCTCAGATTGGGTCCAGCGTGTTCGGTATGAACATCACAGCGAATGCATAGTCCTGACAATGAAGCACAAAGGTGAGAGTGTGACGATGTGAGACTTCACGAGTACAGAAGTTATTGGGGAGATGATATTATAGGTGCCTGTGGATATACTGAAATGCTTATCGACAGGACGACTCCCAGTCTGTAGAAGCTTGCTGGAAGACAGATGATGACCATCCAAAGCACACTGTCTCCTGACTTGAATCCAGTAGAACAACTTTGGGGTATTTTTTAAAGAGAAAAACTAGAGTGGCACACCCCACGAAGAAAAAAAAACTGTCCCTGAGGAATGGCAGAGCATCCATCCAGAAATGTGGTATTCACCGAGCTAAAGGGGAGGAGTCTGTCGTAGAAATAAAGGTGAACAGAGAGAGAAAACAAAAAGGTTTAAATCTCAGGAAGTGCTGACTTTTATCACACTTACATCAACCTGTAGGCATGTATTGTGTAATGAATCTAAAGTGTTACTTTCAATTTCACTTGAGCCCATATATCCTGTTATTCAACTTACAAATAACGTGTTTGCTTTAATGTGATTTGAATTACATGACGTTTATTCACTTTTGTTGTATTTTCTTTTTAAACATACACTGTATTTTGGGAGCAGTTAGAACAGTTTTCTCTTTTGAAAGCACATAACTATTTAATCTTTAGCATTTCAGAGAAACTGCACCTTTGACTTCTAATTAGTAAGAATGGACTAAAACAATGTTTTATTTAGTTATTGGCCATTTGATCAGTTTTGATGTTTTGAATTTAAGTTTAATTATCTTGCATTTTAACTAAACATATGCTGCATAGCGGTAAAGGAAAACACATTTACACAGAATTGTATCTGCCGTCAAATTGGGGGAAAAAAAAAAATTAGTGTGTGAGAGGATGTGAGCTAAAAATAGCGTCTGAAGCAGCTTGAAGATATTTTGCATGCTGGGTTCCTCTTAAAAGGACAAAGTGAAACTCTGCAAGGTGGTTCACGACTTGTTGCACACCGCCGTCAGTTTTATTAATATTACTTTGTTCCTCTTTATTGGTAAAGCTCATGCAATCGCTTTTATGGTAAATGAGACGAACAAAACTGTCGGAATGCCAGTTCTGTTTGTGTGTGAAAGAGAAATGGGGTTAAAGTACAAACGCAGATGTAGCATTGTTAGCGTTAAAGCATCGCATACCCTCCCTATGGTGTATAGTAATATTTTAACTGCTAAAACTACGAGCTGAGGTCTTCATCTTTTGTTTAAGTTGGTCAGATTTGTGTTGACCATTGTGGGCAGGAGGAGGAAAAGGTTTCCTGTCGATTTGCAGTTCATTAGACTACTACAGTTCTATGATAAACTCTACTGTTATGACGGTAAAACACACACTGTATCCTCCAAACACATCAGACTACGGTACATCAAGACTAAACTGCAAGTTCTGCCAAATTGTGGCCTCCTTTCTTTGAACACTTGCCACAACTTTTGGCAGAAAGCAGTTTTGAAAGATACTGTACATGTTACTGCATAAATAAAGCTTCAATTTTTTAAAAAAGCAAATTGTGTAATTGTGTGTGTTATGTGCTTGGACAGGTGTGTGCATCCTCGCAGGCTACAGCCAGTAGCTTTACATACACACATGCACGTATGTGCTTAAACTGATTTTTTTGGGATTAAGGCTGAGCTTACAGGATTAGAATGTTCCACGAGCTGGACGGACACCTGAAATAGATCAGCCCGACGCTGTCAGTGCCTCAGAGCTGCAGAACAACCAGCAAAGTATTTCAACCGGAGAGCTGCTTCTGCTCCGTACGCACAGGTGAGTGTGTGTAGTGTTCATGAATGGAGATTAATTCAAAGCATTTTTAATATGTCATTACTTGATTATTACATGGGCCTCATGTTGGGATGAGTAGTCTTATATTACAACCTGTCATGTAGATGTAATTATGATATATTACAGCAGTGGAGGAGGTGGAAGTGTTCAAATTCTTAAGTAAAACAACCAAAACAACAATGTGTAAAATACTCTATTACAAGTAATATATTTAAAATCCTACTTGAATCAAACCAGTACTGCTTCAGTAAAACACCCCATGTGACTGGGATATGGCTAAATTTACCACATCAGCTTTTTAGAACCTTCTGATCAAATCTGCTTTTAACTTTCTCTTATTTTAATGAGCTTTTCTTTAAAACTAATTTCTTTCTTCAAAACAACAACAACAACACCAAAATCTGAATTTACCTTCTTTGGGACCCAAACAGGGGCTGCAAGGTGGCTCGGTGGTTAGCGACCCTAGTGAGGACTAAGCAGAGTATAGATAATGGATGGATGGGACCAAAACATTAAATGAACCCTTTTGCGAAAACATTTATTCAGTCTTAACGTTTTGCATTTGTATGTTTAGTAACTGTACCTACTAAATGAATGCATGGGACAGTTCAAGAGCAAGTCTCTCCTCCATCCATGTGTTAGTTTCACTTATGAGCTATTATACACAGTATTTATTCATTGCAGTCTTCATTTTTCCACAGCAATGGCTGATGTCTTCAGAGGCCTAAACCTCCTGGAAACCCTCAAAGAGTCAATAGAGAACAACAAGTTATCCGACGTCAAGGATGCAGTGGAAGACCTCCTCATCAGTAGGATCAACTTAGCTGTGGTGGGGGACCGTGGAGATGAAAAAGCCTCCTTCATGAACTCTCTCCGTGGCCTCGGGCCTGGTGATGAGGGAGCAGCTCCTTCTCCATCCCCAGCTGCCCCAGAGGAAGTGGCGGGCTACCCCAACCCTAAACACCCTGATTTCCGCCTGTGGGACCTGCCGCCTGTCCCGACCGCATCCCCATTTGAACCAGAGGGATACATGGATAGAGTGAAGTTTCTCCGCTACAATGCCGTCTTTATGACGTTCGCACAGACACCACATCCCAACAGTGTGCAGGTTTTCCTGGAGGCTCGTTCACTGCAGCGGCAAACTGTGTACTTTCTTCTCTTGGCTTCTGTGAAAGACACAGAAAAGAACCTGGAAGAAAAAAGGAAAGCCAGCCTGGAAGTGCTGACATCTCAGGGCGTGGCGCAACCTAAAGTCTACCTGGTCAAACCCTCTACCCTGGAGAAGTGTGACTGTCCTGGCCTGTTGGAGGACATGGGTAAGGACCTGCCGGAGATCCGAGCCAACGCCCTGCTCTTGGCTCTACCGACACTCACCTCGACCCTGGTCACCCAGAAAAAGGAGGCATTCAAAGCGCTAGTATGGGCGGCCGCCTCGCTATCTGGTGGCATGTCCGCTATTCCTGTACCCATGGTGGCCTCTATGGTGGACTCAAGCGTAGCGGTGCGGATCCTGACAAAAGCACAATTATCTCTGTGCCTGGACGATGAATCGGTGGAGCGACTGGCCCGGCAGCGTGGCCTTGAACCCGCAAGACTTAAAGGACTGCGGACTTGTGCACTTTCGGCAGAGGTCACTAAAGGGGAAGTGAAAAGTCGTCTGACGGCGGCTGAGAAGGACTTGGCCACTGTTTCGTCGAAGCTACTGGAGATGGCAATGCCAAGGCACGCCCGTTCTGCCAGCCGCTCCTTCGCCGCCATGATGCAGGCTTTGAACGGTGCTGTTGATGAAATGGCTGCTGATGCTGAGAAGATAGTGACTGCTGCTCTTGAAGACGGGAAATGATTTTTTTTTGTTTTCGTGGGGGGAATTTCCTGTTTAGTTGTGGTTTACTTTTGAAATATAAGAAACACGTAGTTAATGCAATATTTCCAAATCTTTTGATACAGTCTGTTTTCATGCTAATAGCACTAATAAACACTGTAAATAACATAAATCCTGCAAATAAATGCCAAGTACTGTAAGTTGCTGTTTGCCTGTTGGAAAGACTTCACTCACGTACCCTGAGCACAAATCTTAAATAGAGGAAGTGAGAGGAAGTGAGAACCAGTTCAGCTGCTGAGCAAGTTGCTGGGACAGAAATATTTAATCACTTTCATCAGTACAAGTCAAGATTGTGCACGATGGCTTTCATGGGCATGCAAATTCTAGAATAAGCCAAGTTCCCTTTTTCTTCTAAAACTTTACTGTTTCTTTAGAAGGGTTAGTGAGTTCTGCTGTGAGTGAATCCTGTGAGGTAAGAACAAGCCTGTTTCTATCTTTTGGTTTTATTGATTCCCTGGTTTAATTCAGAAAGTAATCTCATGTTTGTAGATCCTGATTTTAGGGCGTTGCAAAGGTACAACACGGAGAATCTTTGATTTAGAAAGAGGCATCTTGGTGAAAAAGGGAAATATTTTTAATCGTTAGTGATCTAAAAAAAAAATTACCTCCTGTTTACAAGTGTACTGGAGTATTTAATTTTAATTTTTTTTAAAATTAGCATTACATTTACATTATGGGAGGATAACTGACTTAATCAGTAAATTAAATGCACTATATCGTTTGGACTCTTAATGTACTTTGAATGCATGGCTGGTGAAGCAGGCAGCAGTTATTTTAAAACAACAGATGGCAAGTAAATGTTCCTCCAAATCACATTTTAGGTATTATGTGAAAAAAAAAACCCTCAAACTCTAGCGTATCACTCGACAAACGTTCGTTTCTGACTCTGATGCATCGAGTCACACTAACTAGAACAATACAACGAGGAAGCGTCGACATCTTCTCCTCTCGATGTCTCCTTCCGTAAGACGAAACCATCAATCGTGCAGCTGTAGTCGGATGCAAAAAAAAGGATCGTGTTTGTGCTTCAGAATTTCTCTAATCACAAAACAGTTGCTCTAATCGTTCTCAGAAAAACCAAACGTAAGTGGAGGAAGAGAAATCTTCACAGCAGCTGATTTGCATTGAAAACAAGAAGTGCCTGGTGAGGAGGATTCAAGTGTACGCTCAGATTTCATGATACAAAAATGAGCTGTGGTTATGATGTGTGCAGTCACGTTCACACGCAAGTTTGTTCTGTTTCAGGGATTCAGTTTTTATACTGTGCGAAGATGAACGCTCGCACAGCCTGGTGCTTGGTGTTCCTGGCCCTAATTAAAAGTGGGTATTCCACAACTTCACAGTGATATCTGCTTTGTAATGATATTTTGCACTGAAGTCGTATTGATCAGCTGACTTTTCCGTTTATTCTCCACCACAGATTCGTGTAACCAACACAACCCCTTTAATCTAGAACAGAAGGAGCTGACGGCTAACGAGGGGGCCTGTGTTGAAATCATATGCAAAGTTAGGGTGACTATTTATGCTGGTAACGCATACTGGTTTTGGATGAAGGACCCAATATGGACTGGGTCAAATTTTACAGGCACCGTTATATACAGTACAAATCAGAAAGTACGTCCTGTTAGTCCAGGCTTTGCAGACAGAGTGAAATTTACTGGCTCTACAACTCCAACATGGGCTTCTCGTGACTCAAACCCAACGTGCAGTGTTTCGATCTGCAACCTGAAAACAACGGACAGTGGACAGTACATTTTCAGATATGTAGGAGACAGTAAATCTTCAATATGGAAGGCTATACCAGAGATGACACTCAATGTTACGGGTGAGTAAAGATCAGAAGACAAGAAGATGCACAAGGAGACGTGTTAAACTAATGAATGCATGTGTCAGATTAGTGAAGACTGAATAAAATCACGTTTACTTGAAATGAAGACTTTTTATTTTTGGAATTTTGAGGTAAATTGCAGGAATATATGAACAAATTAGTGGCGCTGAGAAAAAGTAATTTTTGAAATTAGGTTTCATGGGATGGTTATTACATGAAAATAAAAGAACTGATAAATGAGAATTCATAACATTTTTTTTTTTTAAATAATAATCAAAACTACTCAAAATGGAGTACAGCTTTCCTTCACTTTTCAGTGTCTTGGTGGGATTTTGATGCCAGATAGAAAGGCAAATGTTACCAGATCCCTCATTTGCACATCTCTTTACCCAGAATAGCTTGATTTTATGAAAACTTTGCGATAGGAGAGCATTATTTTCCAGGGACTCTCCAGCTTTAGAAGACTGTAGCTCCATGTAGCCACCACCACCATCAATTACGACTCGGCAGCAGTTTTGCTTAATCGTCATGCTGCAGTTAACTAGAAATTATTTCTCCATAAAATGCATCCATTCATCTTCACTGGAAAGTAAATTTATTCCAATTACATAATACTACATTTATTTAGCAGCTTTAGTTAAGTTTTAAAGATGAAGGTTTTACCAAATGAATAAAGCAACAAACTTTTAAAACACAACACAGTTTTACAAATTAAACTTGCCAACTTTTTTTGGCTTCTGACATCTTACAAAAAGCAGCGAGTAGTCGGGGTCACGCTTCAGATGTCTTTGAGTGTTAACAGCTGCAACAGATAGTGATTTTAATTTATTTATTTTTTATTTTTTTGCTCTAAACTTCTCAAGTTGTTTTGTTAAATGTTCAAATGATCCAACAACTAAATCAGTAGATTTGTATTAGTATTTTTTCCTCCAAAACACTACTTTTACTTTAATACGATTGTCAGTGCAGGACTTTTATTTCTAATATAATATTTTCCCATTGCTGTATCGGTACTAATACATGAGAAAAAATGATCTGAATTCTTCTTCCACTGCTGGTATTCATAACAGCACCGTGTTATACCTACACTATACACTTATTACACTCACTGTTACCTTTCTGATGTTGTCTTTCTGTTTCAGCGAATCCATGCCCGATCACTTTTCAGCAACCGCCAGTCGTGAAGGAAAATGACAAAATAACGCTCACGTGCTCCACATTGAATACATGTCCTTTAAAGGCAAGCAATGTAATTTCAGTCAAACCACCCTCAGGACAACTCGCAGACAAAGAAATTTCAGAGTCCGCTAGAAACACCACCCTCAGCTTTACAGCCAAATGGTGGAATGATGGAAATGTGTTTACGTGCCAAACACGAGGAAACACGGACGACTATTTGACCCGGAATATCAGCATAGTTGTACAATGTAAGTTCATAAAGTTGTTTGTTTGATTATTGAGTCAAAAGTCAACAGCGTGTCTTTTAATATATGAACAAGCAACACAAATCGACCTTGTGCGTGCAGTACATCTGAATTGCATTCGCTTTTATGCACAGTTTGCATGTTTTCAAACATTTTAGCTACATGTCAGTACGTAACTTTCTCAAAATTACATATGTGGAGTGTAAAATTTGTGCAAAACTGCTGCTTGGCTAAATTTAAAGCCATAACTCTTTACTGAGATTATGTTGTTTCCATTCTACACGTTTCATCTGCTTAAACTATCATCGTGTGCTCTCTACGTGTAGACTGATTTCTCCTCATTTGTACTGGCACAGATGCTCCTAAATACACATCCGCTACGATCAGCCGTCGAGAAATCAAGGAGGGAGACTTTGTGACTCTGACCTGCTCTGCTAAAGGACAACCCAGCCTCAACTTTAGCTGGTTTCGAAATGGTGAAAAGCAATCCTCAGAGGCCAAGTGGATGATACCATCAATTCAGGCATCACAGAGCGGATTGTACTACTGTAAAGCTGAAAACAGTCTTGGTGTAGGAAGCTCAAGAGGAGTCACTATTAATGTCACATGTTAGTATTTTTAATTTTCTTTCTTTTTTTTTTTTTTTTTCAACATTCCCATTAACAAATCACCACATTTTGTATTCACAGCCGGGAAAAAATGGCAAATTTAAATGGCAATCCTGCATCATTTTGTACTTACCAGCACTGTATTCTCAGTGGGTTGTTGCACTGTATCAACCTAAAGAAATGCTGAACTCTTATTTTTCAGATCCCCCTGAGGTAGAGGTACAGATTTCAAAGGAGCCTGCAACACCCGCTGCCATTAATAGAGGAGATAAAGTTACTTTGACATGTCATGTAAACAGAAGCAACCCTTATCCTTCAAGATTTGATTGGAAAAAAGATAATAGATGGATAAGAGGAAGTTGGACATATGTTGTTAATAGTATCAAACCAGAGGACAGTGGCAGCTACACATGTACAGCTTCTAACACCGCAGGTTCTCGAACATCAACGGCACGTCTTCTTCAGGTTCAATGTAAGTTTCACATCTCCTTGTGCTGTATGCAGTTAAGGCCAAAATTATTCATACCCATGCCTGGCTGGTTATAGTGACTCAACCATTAGACTTCTTTAGGCTGAAAATCACATAAAAAGAACATTAAATGCCATGTTCTGGTTAGCACCATTGCCTCGCAGCTAGAAGGTCGCCGGTTCGCGTCCCGGTGAGGACACCCTCACCGGGATATGAATAGGGTATGAATAGTTTAAAGAAAGGTATTCTTTGTTTAAAACAAAAACGTTCACAAAAACATTGAAATCAAATGCGTAACATCTCCAGTATGATGTCGTAGGATCTTTTGTCACTTGTTGATGACATTCCCAGTTAGTTCCATTAGAAATTCCTTACAAATGAAACTTTAGCATGGGTATGAGCAATTTTGGGCCTAACTGTTCGTCAGTGATGATGATGATGATGATGATGATGATGNTAAGTGTAGACCTGTGATAGACTGGTGACCTGTCCAGGTGAACCTGCCTTCACCCTGAGTCAGCTGGGATAGACTCCAGCCCCCCGTGACCCTAGTGAGGATTAAGCGGTGTATAGATAATGGATGGATGCCGACAATTGTTGCACACTTAGAGAAAACTTCAGCTTCTGTGCCATTCCAAACAATCCTGGGAATTTCTACCAGACTACCAGAGCTTTCTGATGCAGTTTTGAATGAGAATCGCTGACGCAGTAGTTAGCTTAGTCAGCTACGAGTCAACTGAAAACCATGAGAGAGCTGTGCTTTGTGGATGCTCACAAGCCAGATAAAGGAAATGAAGCAATATGCAAGTGTTTTCAAGCATTAGAAAGTACAGGAATGGACAATAACCGTAGTGCGAGAGGCCAAGAAGAATCCAACCAAGACCATCCTGATGAATCAAAGCAATTCTGGTGTTCGAGGCAGACGCTACAATCAACACAGCACAAAGCTGGTCTCCCTGGACAATGACGAAGGGGGACCCACTGCTCCAAGACAAAAAAGCTCACCTGGACAAAGAAGAAAGCTTTTGATTGTCAACTTTTTTTTCCTTCAGATGACACAAAAATGGAATTTTGGGGAAGCAAGAACAGCAGTTTTATTCTGGCAGAAGAAATGAGAGGACATTTAACCCAGACGTCACCATGCCAACAGCCAAGCACGGTGGCGTGAATGTAAAGCATTACCTAAAGAAAGTCGGTCTTTCACCCAATTGGCCAGACGACCAAAGTAAATGGTATCATGAGAAACGGGTACCACATAAATATTCTGGAGGAGAACATTAGGTCATCCACAGAGAAACTGACTGATGATTTGAAACGGGCAAAGTAGCAGAGAAAAGGTTAACAGAAGACAATATGAAGAGTTCATTTGCAACAACAGATAACTCCATTTTTGCAGATTTTCAGATTTTTTTTGTTGCTGTTTGCTTGAGATGATATGAATCAAACTGAAGTTGAGTGTATTTAACTCAGTAGAAATGACAAAAATAGACATAACTGAAGTTTGATTGATATTGTGTCAGTTAGATGATAGAAAAATGGGTTTTCTGAAGGTTTGTGAAAACGGAGTTATCTGTTTTTGCAAATGAACTCTTCATTTGCATATTATGGAGTTGTCCAATCCCATCGAGATTCTGTGATAAAGGCTTTGCCACTAATTGCCTACAAAGGGTATGAATAGTTTAACGAAAAGTATTCTTGGTAAAAAAAAAAAACGTTCACAAAAACATTGAAATCAAATGCGTGACATCTCCAGTATGATGTCGTAAGATCTTTTGTCACTTGTTGATGCCATTCCCAGTCAGAAGAAACCCAGTGATCCAATAGAAATTCCTTACAAATGAAACTTTAGCATGGGTATGAGCAATTTTGGGCCTAACTGTTCGTCAGTGATGATGATGATGATGATGATGATGAT